GAACCCACCACCTTAGGTGTACGTGGCTGGAGCCTTAGCTGGGTGAGCTATAGGCGCCTAGCCCATTTTACAATTCTTAAAAAAAAAAAAAAAAACTAAAAGTAATTTATATTCTTAATGTCATCAACAAAATGTAATTTGCACATACAATGAAATATTATTCAGCCTTAAAAAGAAAATTCTGATAAACATTAAAACATAGATGAACTTTGAAAACATTACACTGAGTGAAGCCACACAAAGGATAAGGTTGTATGATTCCACCTATAAGGAAACTAAACTAGCCAAATTCGTAAAGAGAGAAAGTAGAATAGAGGTTATTAGGGTTGGTAGAATGGGGGAACAAACTTATTGTCTAATGGGTAAGAGTTTGTTTGAGATAATGAAAAAGTTCTAGAAATGGAGAGTGCTAATAGTTGCACAAAACTGTGAATGTACTTAATGCCACTGAACTGTATACTTAAAAATGTTTAAAACGGTAAATTCTATGTTGTGTATATATTTTACCACAACAATATTTTTAATACGGTAATGGTTGGGCAGTGCCTGTGGCTCAAAGGAGTAGGGGGCTGGCCCCATATGCCGGAGGTGGCGGGTTCAAACCCAGCCCTGGCTAAAAACTGCAAAAAAAAAAAAAAAAAGAAAAAATTAAAATGTTAATGGTTAAAATGGTGTTATGTACATTTTACAATTCTTAACAAAAAAAACTAAAAGTAATTTATACTCTTATAGTTCTAAATTTAGTGTACAGTGATGTACAGATTGGGTTATGCATAAATGATAATACAATTAGTTATTTTATTTTATTTTTTTAGAGATAGAGTCTCACTTTGTCACCCTCTGTAGAGTGCTGTGGTGTCACAGGTCACAGCAACCTCCAGCTCTTGGGCTTAGGCTATTCTCTTGCCTTAGCCTCTGGAGTAGCTGGGACCACAGGGGGCCCACACGCCTATTTTTTGTTGCAGTTTGGCCGGGGCTGGGTTTGAACCAGCCACCCTGGGTATATGGGCTGATGCACTACTCACTGAGACACAGGCACCGCCCTAGTTATTTTATTGATGGAGAAATACTAACAAGTCGCTATATTCATTTCAGCTATTTTGTCCTAAAATGACATTCTAATAAAAAATACACTGTACCATTTACTTCACCCAATGAATAATTTTATGCCACTGTGAAATGCCCTTTTACATCTTCCAAGGACGTACACCGCGTGACACAGATGCCCAATTAGTAACAAAACTAAAAGAGAAAATACGACCCCAATTTTAAACAAAGCACTCATTAATACACAGTTCATCCAATCTAAACAAGTACTAAGTACATAGTACCTGTGAGAAACCCTGGCCAAGAAGTATTTCAAGATTACCAAAAGGAGAGCTGCTATACATTAACTCAGCCGCAGAAAGACAAATAATTCAAAACTATCCTTTAATGTCTGCCTCTATAAGCACTGCACACCATTTATTTAAGGTTTACAGTCTGCATTATTGTGGCTCCAGCTGCCATTTTTAGATTACCAGTTTCTTGAAAGTAAGGCAAACGCCTAACTTTTATCACCGATTAGACGGCATAATGAGGACTCACATGAAACAATGCACTCTTGCCTTTCTACAAAACTGTTTGGTTTTAATTACAAACAAAACCAGCTTAACAATTTCCACCGGGCGAGTGCTCTGATTCAATTTTCCATAACCTTATCTAGGAAACGAGGCGCCCCATCTGAAACTTAATGCCGTATAAAGTGCCCCCTCTCTAGCCTATGTAGAGTGCAAGGCCCCAGTGCAACAGCCCAATTTTGGCCATATTCGCTGAGTGATTTTAAGGAAGTCAGCTACCACTCATCTCACGTGACCTTAAAAAGGGGCGCAGCTGAGATCAGGATTAAACCACGTTCCTTTTTCTTCTACATCAACTTCACTGCCCAGCCTATAGGAAGTGGGTGGGGACAAGTCGCAGACCAATGGACAGGAAAAGGTAGCAAACAAACGCGGGTGTCGTGCCGTCTACTACGGGAGGGCTGGGAGGTGAGGGGGCACACCCGCTCACGCGCACCGCAGCGACTGCAAACAGGAGCCTGCCACACCCCCCGGGAGCCAGGGGCCAAGGCTCCATGGTCCGCTTTCTCTAGCAGAAAGGGAGCCCTCTCTACAGAATGCCCCACCTACTAGGGACTGCCCGGAGTCTCCCGCACCCCGAATCATCACGCTCAGGAGTCAGAACCGGTGGGACACTATGCTGCGGGGAAGCAGCGGGGGGAGGGCCGCGTCCACCGTCAGTTCGCGCATGCGCAGATCCGGGTACCCGCCCTTTCACCTACCGTTGGAACCGCGAAGCCCCGTTCCCCAGCCGCGGCCACTTCTCCAGGACCCGCGGCGACGGCAAGAGGGCGAGAACTGAGGCCCCAAGTGGCTCCGCGGCCCGGGAGCCTCTTCCTGTAGCGGCTGCTGGCGGGAGGCTGACGCGACGACTATGGCGCGGGGCCAGCCCGGTAAGCGACCCTCTGATCCCTCCGGCGGTGGTGGCGGCGGCGGAGACGCGGTAAAGGGGGCGGGAGCGGCGACGGAGGCAGCAGCTGAGGCGCAGAACCTCCCTAACGGCGAGCGGGAGGAGAGTGGAGGGCTGAGGGCTGAGGGCTGAGGGCTGAGGGCGGGCGGCAGGCGGCGGGCGGGGGCCGGACCGGACGTGACGTGCGTGGGAGGGGCGGGCCCCGCGGCAGTGGGGGGAGGGGCGGCCGTAGCCCTGGAGTTCGCAGGTTTGCGAACCGTTGTGCCCCCTCCCACCTCAAATTTGGGCTCTTGCGATGAGCGCGAGAAGCTAGGCGGAGGCCCGAGGAAGGTGTTTGGGGGTCCTAGGTTGGGGGCGGTTAGGAAGGAGAAAGAAACAGGCGATGGGACGTAGGAGGAATGAAGGGAAAATACGAAAGACTGAGGTCGTTTCTGGTCTCTGCGGAGGCGCCCTTGCCCTCCTGCAGGGAAGACTGGTATACCTATATCCACGTGAAGGGCACAGAGGACTCAACAGAAAACGCTAGGGCAAGCCTAGGCAGTGATTCACGTTCCCAGTCCCAGAGTTGTGTGTTAGATATGGGAACTTCTGGGCTGCACCAGCGCCCTACCCGCCCCCCGCCCCCCACGCTTCCCCTTTCACCTTAAGGATCTGACCTAGACTCCAGACAGAACACTGACGCTTTGGTGCCCAAAGGCTCTGGAAATGTGAAAGTGATAGGCTGCATGCTCACAAGGAGCTTCATATATTAAACTGGAGCTGCGGAGTCAGAGCTGAAAGGAGGTAGAACGAACGAGGAACTCTTTGAACCTAGGAGTCTGTACTTGGTTGCATAGCCACCCAGACCAACCCTGCAGCTCCCTTGGGCTCACAAAGGTATGAATATTCAGCCAATCTCTTCTTTGCTTTAGTTAAGGGCTTTGAGTTCTTCCACTGAGTAAAACGCAGTGTTCTGCCTTTGGACTCCTGTAGAGCGGGTAGATGAACACCTGCACAAAGAACTCTGGTTGTCTGTGAAAATATGAAGCACCACAATTCATAGACCCTTCATAGAACTTGGGACAAGATTAAAAATAAATAAATAAAAAGTCACCCTATGAGATGATCTGTAAAAGTGTTACAGAGGCCAAGGGGCTTCCAAATTTCATCAGAGAGACTAGATCCTCTGTACCCTAAGTAACACATGCCCAGTTGTTGCTGTCATAACAGAAGGGTGGGGTCCACAAAAAGTCTAAAACCAGCAGAATGTAAGAATATCTTGTGGAGCTCCACTCCCACTCTATCCAGGATAAAGGTGACTCATTCTAATAACCAGGACCAATACTCATTATCAGGACAGTTAAAAATCTTAATTCGGCTCAGCGCCTATAGCTCAACCGGCTAAGGCGCCAGCCACGTACACCTAAGGT